TAATTTCATTTGTATCTACTTATTAAATACCTTACGTGTGACAGGTAATGCCATCCTGGTAATGCAAGCTAGAAAGTACCCTGGTGGTAGAGCCACATTCCAAACCCAGGAACCTCTAATCACTGTGCCAAAGGATCTTCTGTGTGATTCTACTAAAACGTGAAATCCTCCCATGGTGGTCAAGGGGGTTAGTGAAAAACTTGATTCTCATAATAAATTCAGGCATCTCTATGAGACAAATGGAGGCAGAGAGGTGAACTGAAGACTTTTTTTCTTTCCAAACCATGCAACATAGACAGATATGGAGGAAAACCAAGACAGTACTATTTATGAAAGAGTCCTGCTCTGCCTACTGCTTCACATCATTCACACTTATCCCTTTATTCCCTTTGGGAGAGGAGAGATATTATTTGCATCTCATGCTGTCTAATTATGCCTCCACGGAACGTTTCTTTCTGCCAACTACTATGGGATTCTTAATGAATTTAATATTTTGACAACTGGCTCTTCCCATACCAACCACTGCTGTCATTGGATGGTGTAATTTGACCTTTTGATATTTTGATAGCAATATTTTTGCTGATCCTTTTCTATATTCCACCTTAGCCACCCACTCTCAGTGTCACAAAACAAATGTCAATACCAACTCCACTTATAAATATTAAGACTTCATTCTATCTCATCCCGAGCTGCTTGTCTACCTGGCCCATTGGCTTAATTATTTTCACTAACTATTCTTTGACTCCACTAGGACCTTTACACCAGGTACTTTCTGTCTTTGATTTTGTGTCCCATCCTGTTTGCTGTCAATGGTCTCACATGTCAAACAATCTGTTTTCACCATCTAGTTTCCATGTTTTTCTCATGTCCTTTTATTTCTTACCCACCTATTTGGAGAATTCCCATCCTAGATTAACACAACTGAGTTTTCCTGCTAAAACTCTTCTGCAAAAATCAAGTAGCCTTCTCAATATTCATATTGTCCAATATTACTAAAAACCAGGTCATCCTAGTGCCTGTTTTTAGTTGTTACTCTTTTCCTTTCAATGCATGATTTCAAACATTATTTATTCTCTGACTCTACCTTTTACCATTACTCTCAACATTTCATATACCAAATCCTTTCATCTGCCATCAAACTAATAAAGTCCTTAAGTATTAGCATGGATCCTTTCTTCCCCTTCTGACAATAGAAGAGATATCCTCTTTCCTTTTAAGGAACAAATTGTACGCTGAATTCCATGTCTTCCTATTTTCTCAGAAATTTTACACCATCATTTAAAAACGACCCATTTGTTTTACATCTGTCCCCATTTGCATTCCTATTCATCTCTTCATTTTCCGAGTTAAATGTGGAAAGGGTTGTCTGCATTTGTCGATCCTATTTCTTCTTGTATCATTTAGAGAACAAACTTTTTCATTGTGGATTTTGCTCCAGTATTCTATCAAATCTCTGTTGCAAATGCTGCCAATGATGTCCTTGCTGTTTAGTTCAAGAGATATTTCTTAATCTTCATCTTACTTTGTTGAAGCAGTGTCTTCTTCTCTTGGTTTTCATGATGCTTCTAGCTTCCATGTTTTTCTCCTACCAATATTCTATTCCTTCTCAGCCTCTTTTCCTTCTCATTCCTTCACTATCTGATCACTAAAGCTGGGAATCCTTCTTGATGCTTCTGTTCAGGTCTTTTTTGTTATCTTCTTATGTTCTCTCCTCAAGCAATCCCATCCACCATCATGGCTTCGATTACAATCTAAAAGTCAGTGACTCTATTGGCCCTTCCTTTATTCATCTTTAATCCCTCCAGTCCATTCCCTTTATGAATCAACAGTAGAATCTATATATTTGTCTCTATCTCCTCAGATCCTTACATCATCACACTTTTCTCCTCCCTGGTACAAAAGTTTCCAAACTTTTTTTTTTTTTTTTTTTTTTTACCAAATCCTCTTCTTTCCATAACTATTCTGTTCACACATCAGCCACAGGAATGATTTTTAATGGACATCTTACTTTATCACGGTCCTGCCTAAAGACCTCCAGTGGTTTTTCATTACACTTAGAAGAAAGATGGAATTTCCATAATGGGGTCATTATGACACTGTGTGTCCTGTCCTTTACTTACTGAATCAGAATGATCTTTTTCTATTTTCTTCTCTTCTTGCTGCCCATGCTTTACACATGCTGAGTTCCCTTTAGTTCTACAAGCATGCCAGGTAGTTCTCCACTCTAGGAACTTTGTCCCTGCTCTTTCTGCTGCCTCAATTCTGTACTCTTCCTTCCATTGCTAACTCAAGCTTTAAGGCTGCTTAAATAGTCCATCCTCTATATGCTCCTTCTTCTTCGCCCTCTATGACAATGGAAATTTTGCCTGTTACAGGTGAACTTTGGTAAAATTTTTATGTTGTATTCCTAACATCAGTCAGAATGACTTGTAATGATAGCAGAGTGTAGGTGTTAACATCATAATCCCCAATACCTAGCAACAAAATTCTTGGTGCATAAATATTTGTTAAGTGGAAGAATGCTGCTTACATTAAACTTCTTTAACTAAAGACTAAAATTACTTTTCTTAAGTGTTTCTTTTGTTGCCATTATTCAGATTAATTATAGCTTATAACTGAAAAATTATTACAGTGGCATATTCAAAGAGATTTTCATTCTTTTCAATGACACCACATATTATGGAAATATTAGTTCTAGAATCATGCATCTAGGCTTAAGAATAAAGATTCAAGAGGTGCATTTTGATGATTTCTATGCTTTCTACTGCGAAAGGTTGTCAAAACATGGAATGAAATTTAAATGATAATAGAAGAATAGAGGAATATGAGAAACTGGTGTCATATGCACAATTCAGGTCACATCCTGCATTACATGCTCAAACATCTGGGTATGCAAGGTGATTCTGAATTGCACAGTACCTCTTTTTCCCATAGCAAATTATCATGTTCCAGAAGACAATAAAATGGGGAAAAGAACAGCTGCTCTTTTTTGTTAAAAATCTTTCTGTCTCTAGAATAAAAGTGATTGTATTTCTTTGAGAGTGGTTTCATTTCTGAAAAATTGTCAGAAGGTGTTTGCACTGAATATTGTTCAGGTAATGACTCAAAAACTGTTATCATAAAATATAAATATCACTGTATGTATTAATTATAGCATTTATAAAAATGATTATAAATGTTGGTATGTGGACATCATCCGACAGAACAGATATATGTCAGAATATAGTTTTTAAGAGATAAGTTTTGTCTATGCTAAGAAGTTTCTCACCCTTTCATTGATTAATGTAATATTCTCTAAGCAAATGGGGATAGTATTTTAATACAACATTTTCTTCTACATATTAGTTAGGAGCTCAATGATGACAATTGACTTAAAAATATTCAGAATAACATTAGTTACATATTTCTATTCATTGCGTTTTTATATAATGCATTTACCTGAAAAATGTACCATCTCACTTTGCTCTGAAAAAACAAAAAGGTCCCTTTGTTTTCTGTAATTTTTGCAAAACCTGACAAATGTTTTTAAATGAAACAATGCGAAGACTTGGATTTTGTGATCAACTACCAAGTAAGATTAATCCTTTCATTAATTATATGGTTTTTCTAAATTTCAACTTTACTTTTGTTGAAATATATCTTTTCTAGTTTGTATAACTCATTTTTCTCCCGCTATATTTTTAAATAGGCTTTAAATAGTTAGGTTGCTCAAGTTACCTATCTCCAAAGTCATGTCTATTCCATGCCGACAGACAGGAGCCTCATCTCAGGAAGATGTCTCAAAGTGTGTGTTTAGTTCAGCTTAAATCACCAGCAATATTGGAAACTGATATATAGCATATACCTTAATGACAGCAGAAAAACTGCCTTCTCTTTATTTGCCAAAGCATTCATGCTCTTAATTTCATGAGGGTATTTTTAGTTTCTAGTAATTTGGAAAAAAGGTGACAGGTGACAAAGTCAGAAAATAAAGTGCAACAATATGGTGTAAAACTCTAGCTATATATAATACCTATGAAATGTATAGGAAAGTGCATTTCCATTCCAATAACACCTGTGACATTTAGACATACTATGGAATTTCTACTTTCAGTCTTTGCCTTTGTCATATGCTGGAATTAGTTCTCTCTAAATATAGTCAGAGACCTTAAAATAGTTGAGCACTCAGAGGGTATACGGTGTAGCAAATCATAAATTTGTATGCTTTTCTGCCTTTTATAATTCTTGTTTATAAAGTGGTCAATAAAGTTATATTTTCAAAAAACTTAGAAATTCCAAACCAAAAAAATTAAATTACCACAATAAAAAAGGAAAATTGAAGCTTTATAAAACCGTCTTTATAATATGTTTGTAATGATTATACCCAATAATAGCCTAACAATAAAAATTAAATTCACATATATCTTCTGACATAAACTTGCTTTTATGTAATTTAATAACACTTACTCATTAACACAGCAAATATCCTTGATTTCCATTTACCGATCTTACTAGCATACAACAGAATTTCATCCACATAGTTCACTACACACTTGTTATAGATTTTTTTTCTTGGCAACATTTATCTTTCCTGCTCTATGAACCAACCTATTTTACATTTTCTGCCTCTTAAAAAATTCTCATAAATAATTACTGGCTTTCAAAGGCTGTTGGCAACTGGACACTTGGTAATTGCTAGTTTTAACCGATATTTAAAGAAATATGATGATAAGAATCAAGAATTAAAAAGAGCCATTTTTCTTTCTTTCTTCCTCTCTCTTTTTGAGATAGTTTGCATCTGTGGCATTGCACAACTGCAGGCTCAAAAACAGGAACTAGATATCATCAATTTATAGACAAGCTATGGTTGTAGGTAGGGTGCAGAACAAATATGAAGAGAGAAGGTAGTTGACAGTTTCTTAGATTTTTTTTTTTGACTGAAAGAATAACAGGATCAATCGTATAATCTGAAAACAAGTTCACTTGACTCTCCAAGTTCCTGGCCTCACACAGACACTCACCAGTGTTGGATATCCCTGGTGGCACGCCTGAGCTCCAGGTACCAGCAATCTCAGTATGTTGTGCCCAGGACACCTGGTCCTGCCAAGGTGAAGAATGGTGGCCACCTAGTCTATGGGACTCTTCTTAAACAACAGCTTTTCACCTGTAAAGAGAAGGATATTCCTTATACACGGACCAATAAATCAATGCAATGTAAAAGATTAAGGTGTATATATAAGTTGAATGGTTATTGGTAATCCTTAAGTTTGCGCATTCATAATTACATGGTTTTAAGGTTTTTTTCTGGAGAAGAGGAATATGTAGCTAAATTTGATATAACTGTACATTTGTAGGTATACAATATTCACCAAAGATGTAGATAAAACACTGAAAACATATGGTTGGCTATAGTTTAGTAGCAGATCCATCAAGACTCTGGTTCTCATCCTGTTGGCACAGGATTTAATTTTGTTAGGATATTCACATTATAGTGCTCAAGTCTAGTGTGATAATGAGTTTGGGTATATCTAGCCTGTTCACTTTATAATAACACATTATGGATTCTGGTAGAAACGAGAAGAAAATTCAACAGTATGTAAAGGATTTTCCTTTTTCAAATGATAGGTTATGTTATTACTTCCACAACTGCTGGGAAAGTTCCCTCCCCATTCCTTGTATTTCTTCCCATGTTATACTTCATTAGTACAACAGTCTATACAACGTATGCCCTTTCTTCCATCTGCCACATAGAAAATAAAATGACTTATTTGATTGATTATGAGTTTCCCAAATAACTTCAATGATTAGACCATTCTCTTCCTTTCTCTTTCTCCTGGAAACTACCCTCAGAAAACACATGTTCTTTATTTTTTTTTCCTATATGCCAAAAAAATGTTCAGAGGCAGGTATACCCATGATGGATAGGAGTAGTGGGTAGGGGTGGTGGCCATAGTTGGGTGTGGAAATTAAATGAAGGAGAGCACAAATGGTGGTCAGTGTCTGGTGCCACAACCATGGTCCCATATCTCCTATCTACCTGTCCCACTTAATCTTTTTCATACTATGCTAACATAACACCATCACATTCCAACCCAAATGGTCTTCTTCCACTTCGTAGAGTGCACTGTATTCTTCATCACATTTGGATCTTTACATTGACTTCTTTTCCCAGAAATGCTCTTTGCATTTATTTTTACATGGCTGTTTTCACCTTGTAGTTTTGATTTGAATGCCACCACGTCAATGACTCTTTTACTTCACCCTACCAAAATACCCACTCTGTCTCCATTATGAAATATGACAGTCCTCTCTTCCTTTCCTACATACCTAACGCAATATCATTATATTGTGGTCATTTTGTAGTTTTTGTTTTGGACTCTAAACCCCACAAAGACAGGAATCATGGTGGTTTTATTCATTACTACTCCATAGTAAGTATTTATTCAACATTTCTAGAATAAATGATTAAACATATATTCAAATTTAAAGTTATATTATTTCTTGGAAATAATAAGAGAGATACAGGGGTTTAAGGTCATCATGAAATGTCTTTGGCATGAGAGTATAGTATTGAAATGATGCTATCTTCAGAAGTTAAACAAAATAATACCCAGAAAAAAATGAGAAATGTTTTTCTGTGTCATATGTCCATTTACAATAAAAAAATAAGAGATGGCATATGAAATTTACCAGCATGCACTTGAGAAACTTCACACAAAGCTGAAGCAGTAAGATTGCAAGTTGGAGATCAGCCTGGGAAACTTAGTAATACCCTGACTCACAATAAAAGAGAGCTGGGGATGCAGTTCACCAATAGAATTAACCTGGGTTCAATCCCCAGTAACACACACACAAACACACACACACACACCAAATGTTTTCATAGAATACACAATATTAATTGAGTATTATTGATAAATTCTATCACTAAAGCCATTCTCTAAGGTATACTAAATAACTGCATAGAACAGAGAGCAGCTGATTTTAGCATGTTCTTTGGGAGACTGGTGTGCTGTATGTGGAGTCAACATAAACCTACTCAAAAGAATTAAGAAATAAAATCCTTTACATGGTTTGCCTTACAACTAGTTTTCATGGTGGCCTTAACTGTGATTATGGCAACAGCCATGAAGATCCCAGCTCTAGCACCAACAGTGCTTGACAACCGCAAAGGAGGAAACAAAAACATGATTCTTTACACATCATGAGATAATAGGTTTTGGTCAACACAATTTACTTTGCAGATGAGTTTTTAGTAATTACATTTCCCAAAGAGTGTTTCCTCTGCTTATGATCAATTTTGTATCCTCTTGTAAACCCTCTACTAACAGGAAAAATACAATGGCAAACAGAGATTCTGAAAACAAATACTATCTGAAACATTATTGTGGAAACTAAAATTAAATGAGAAGAAGAGAGCTATATTATCTGTTGAGGGTATGGGCCAATCTCAGAAGATCCAGCCTCAGATTTCAGGCTTTCCAGGGCCACTGTCAAACCTAGATCAGGTTGGGCATCTCGATGGCACCAGACTGGCCCTGATCAAAATAAAATGTCAGGCTAATCTAGACAGGAAAGTTGGTGAACTGACCCAAATCAGGTTGAACCCTGCCTTGGAGGACCAGAATTTAAGAAGGGGACTCAGATTCAAGGGTTAAGAATCTAATACCAAGGAGCCACACAGCTGTATCCTATATATTTTAGCCTCTGGGTCCAGTTAGTTTTAATGTATGACATGATGGAGGGGGCTCATGCTTGAACGAAGGAAAATTACACCCTAGAATGGTCTTGAAATCCTGGAGTACAGCTCTCAGCACATGCCTAAAGGATGCTAAAGGAAATCATGGATATACCAATAGTTCATATCTTACAGACACTTATATTATGAAGAATATTAGTCAAGTTACTATATATATATATATATATATATATATATATATAAAAGTTACTATATGTATATAAATATATTTATTATATATTTACTCTTTTGGAGAATAAGTCATCAACATAACAATTATCAACAGATGGTGATGATATATTATCTATTAAGTAATAAAAAATAAGGCATAGATGCAAAAAATTACAAATATGTTTTCATAAAAAATAAATGTGTTAGTGTCAGAAACAAATACATTTATAATGTAAGCATATATTTGTAAGCATATATTTTAGATTTTTAATGGACATAAAACAATTGTGCATATTTATAGGGTAAAGTGTTTTTATACATATGTATAATGTGTAGTAGTTAAGTTTGAATAATTAGCATGTATAACATCTCAAATATTTTTCATTCCTTTGTGATTAAAAACATTTAAAATTCATTTTCCAGCTATTTTGAAAAATACAATATATTATTTACCACAATCATCCTACTGTACAACAGAACAGTAGAGTTTATTCCTATTATCTGTTACTGTACCTCTCAGCCAACCTGTTCCCTCTTCTTCTGCCCCCACACTTTGGACATCATCATTCTATCATAAAAGAAATATAAACATTACCGAAACCAGAAATACCTTGCTCTGTAACTATGTACTTCAGTTCCCCAGAGCAGTCGTTTTGTTCTCAAAATGTTGGGAGTTTATATTCTTAAAAGTAACACCTACACCAATACAATTATCAGCTCCAAGTATATGCAAAGTTTTAAGACAGTAAAAATATATGACATTTGAACTTGTTTGAGAGAATACATTCATTGCATCATTTATTTCTTGGTTATACACATTTGTGTATGTACATGGAGCACCCTGATGTATTTTATTTCCAAAGGATTATTGTTATTATTAGGATTTATGTCAATAGGGAGTGTGACAATAAGATATTTAGGTTTTCTTGTCATTTTCTCAGAGTTTGGCTGTATTGCAAGTAGTTAATGAAGATTATAGCTAAATAAATGACTCAATAGTCAACCTTCTAGAAATGGTTGTATTTAGCTTTTAGGGTAATGCTAACTTCACTGTTGTATTAGTAATCTCATCAACTTTTTGGTTAGGGATGGATAAATAACTAGCTTTTAGTATGTAAATTACCAACAAAAACGTTTTGCAGAAAATGGGTCAGGTTAGAGATGTAAATGAGGCCTAAAATGTCTCATTAGGTTTTGAATTGCTTTTTTTTTTCCTAAGCATTATAAATCTTGCAAGCTTTTGGGGTAATTTTCTTGCTTGAATAAGCTAGTAAGGTCTTTTCCAATAATAAATGAACTAAAATACTTCTCAAAATTAATTTTGCTTGAAAAGATAGAACAAATTGAATATCGAAGTATAATTTATTTGAAAGTTACTCAATGCTTCCGTTTCCTAATATTTTTAGATAGTAAAGTTATATAGACCACATCCAAGATTTCATAATGGACATCATGTTCAGGTATGGAGAGAGATCTCTGTCAATGGCTCTCATTGAAAATCAGTTGTATAGTTGAAGGGTACTTAACAGATCATGGGCAAGTCATACCACAGAATATGAATATCTTTTGCAAAGGAATGGATCTTCTTTGATTTAGCAAAATGTCTCTTGGTTTTCTTCTGACAAGTCCTATTTGTAATGCTCATTATGAAACCATGTTTTCAGAACAAATACTATGCAAAACATGATCTTGCTCACAGCACTGCTTTTAGACCAGCTTACCTAGTTAAATGATAAATGCAGATGCAAAAGCAAGACAGAGCTGCTTTAGATCTTATGAAACACTAATAAAACATTGTCACATCACAGAGTGAGATTGTCACTAGGTAGTTTCCCACATATGACTTTAACAACATTGGTTCTATTCTACAAACCACTAATTTACAGCAGTCTGAATTAGCCTTGTGTGACAAAGTATGAAGTGTTTGTTGGTTATGTTCATCTATCACAGCATTGCCAATGTTTAGGACAGTTTAACATATCAAACTCTTGATAGGGGGCTGGATTTTTGTCACTGTAAAAGCTGCAAAAGTGAAATAGTAAATGTGCAATTACAGCAAGTACCTATATTTAAAAGCTTAAAAAATACAAAAGGGAAACCAATCAACTTATTGTCATCGTTTGGTTTGTTTTTGTGTAGGGCGGAACTGAGGATAAACAATCAATGTTTCTCAGTCCATATTTGGATAGCTCTAATGCTAATTGTCAACAGCAACCAAAGTTGCTATTTGCCACTCTTGAAGACAATTGGCTTTT